AGGATTTAGAGATTTTCCCCACATTGAAATTATTCAGTGGGTCTCAGTGCATGTGCCTTTCAACTTTTTTTTTTGTGAATCAATCATTTATCATACAGAATTGCCCCCATATTTTATATTTTATGGTAGGAACTGGAATACTTGTGGAGTGTGAAATTACTTACTCCCAAACAACAACAAACCAGCAAGTCACACTACTTGAGTGTGTGCTTAACTGAGTCTTCTGGCATGAATATTAAAAGGATCACAAGTGATCCTATTGGGCTCTAGTGATCACAGATTACTATCCTAAGTAGTGTATATTCAAGGGAAGGAACAGCGGCTGGAGATTTAGCTCAGTGGTTAAGAGCACTGGTTGCTCTCGCAGAGACTTAGGTTCATTTCTCTGCATCCACATGGAGGCTTACAAGCATCTGTGACTTGAGTTTCAGGCACACATGTGATACACAGACATACACACAGGCAAAACACCAATCACAGAAAATAAAAATTAAAAAAAAAAAAGCCAAGAGACTCCTTAGTTTAAGCAGACAACAGTTCCTTTATTTAAAAATTTTTTTAAAAATTATTTTATGTGAATGTTTTATCTATAGGTATGTCTGTGCCACAGGCATGCATGGTATCTGTGGGGTCCAGAGGAGCAACTCAGCTTGCCCTGGAACCTTAGTTGTAGCATCCATGTGGCTGCTGGGAATTAAACCCCATTCGTATGAAAGAGTAGCCAGTGTTCTTAGCCTCTGAGTCATCTCTCCAGCCTGCAGACTACTGCTTTACACGTACTTATTTGTGTGTAGGTGTTTGGGGGGTTGAGGAGGAGTGGGGGTGTTAGAGGAGAACTTGAGTATTTGTTAGGGTTAATAGTTCTGATAAAATGACATATAGTAATGATTGTGTCTACAAGCTTTGTTTATAGAAGCGAAATTAGAGTTCACATTACAAAAACTGATTTGGGTTCTTGGAAAAGAGCTGTGTGTGCTGCCTTAGCACCCACCTATTCATTACTTTGCTTGGAATTGACAAAGCTTTTGTTGCTGAACATTAGCTCTTAATCTCTAGCTTGACTGGAGGATTTAAATTTTGTGTTAGCTACTTTGTGCTTTATAATTTTTGACATGGTTAATATTTTGATGTTACCTCTAGCTGACAAGCTGTCTGCTGATGATCTGAACTCGCTGATTGCTCATGCCCATCGTCGTATCGATCAGCTCAACAGGGAGCTAGCACAACAGAAAGCCACAGAGAAACAGCACATTGAGCTAGCCCTGGAAAGGCAAAAGCTAGAAGAAAAGCGGGCCTTTGACTCTGCAGTGGCAAAAGCATTGGAGCGCCACAGAGGGGAAATACAGGCCGAGCAGGACAGAAAGGTAGTGGAACAGAGAACAACTTGACATTTAAACCTGTTAACCTGACTTGTTCCATTACCAGCTGTTAGAAGTAGATGTACTTCATGGGAAGACACAGTTAGAGTGGCATTTAGCCCCCCCCTTTTTTTCTGAATCAGAACTTCTAAGGTAGGTGTGACCTAGCTGCCTGCCTTCCTACTGAGCAGATGGAGAAGTGTAAGTAATCAGGTCCTGGTGTGCAGGGTCACCTCACTCAGGATTTCCTCCTGTGCAGCATCTTGTTGTCTAACACCACGCTGAAAGCATCTCTCTTGAACTCTGAATCTGTTCTTGCGGGTGATGGTAGTGGGTGTGATTGTCCAAAGGGAAGAGGCAACTCTGTTTGCCATCTTTTTTGTTTTTTTTTTTTATGTATTAAACATGGCACCCAGAGACTTACTTAGGTGCTGTCCACCCCATCCTCTCACCAGCTTTTACATTCAGTCTGCATCCGTAGCAAATTCCAAACCTGTCTGGAATTAAGTTATCATCTTGGTAGTTTTCTCAGGTTCTCACTGTGTAGCCCTGCTGGCTTAGAATTCACAGCAGTCCCCTATGCTTTTGTTTGTTTTTTAAATAGGATCTTGTTATATAGCCATGATTGATAAGAACCCATGGCTATAGACTTACCTTATCCCAAGTTTCTAGTTTACAGTATGAGCCCAAAAGTTCAAATTCTTAAACAACACCCAAAGGCTCTTATTTACATACTTGCCTTTTGTAAACCCATTCATTTTCCTACATCTTGCTTGTTTTTTGTTTTCTCTGTGCACTGTCTGTTTCACTGGGAACTTTGTGCTGTGTGCTGCCAGCATCCGGGTCTTCCCTTCAGTTCTGTCATCGTCTCAGACATGCCTCTCCTATCCCTTCAATTTCAGGCAGCCAGTGGATCAGTTTCTGCCATGTTGCTATTGTCAGTGGAAGTGGGCAGAGGAGGTTGGGTAGGAATTAAGGTTTTACAGCAGGTCTCCTGCTACCATTCATTCTTGTAAACAAGTGTGTGTCTGTATGTAATGTATCCTGCGAGGCACAGGGCTGGTCACAAGTGTTTACTTACACACTGCCTAGCCGGCTTCACTGACTGCACTATGCTAATTCTGAGAAGAGATGAGTTTCACGTTCAAGGTAATTTGTGTAGGTGTGCAGTAGAACAAGTAAAGCAGGATGGACCATTTTCTAACTTGTTTTGATTTGGCCCATGCTGAGCCCAAACTCATGTGAAAGTAGCTGTTCGCAGTTCTCTGTTTAAAAGAAATTAGTAAATGCTGGGCGTTAATTTTTGAAATGATTTTTCAAAGTTGGCATTGTCACTGTGGCGAAGGTAGAAGCATGAATAAATACGCAGTTATGATTAAACTGTTTGAACCCAGTTTTGAACTAGGTTTCTTTCCTCTGAGTTCTGGAATGAGTTACTGCCTATGGAATGTGTGGTTCAGCTATGTTGGTGTTTGTTTCTGTGTTGGGACCACATGGCATTGTTCAAGGTTTGAGGCCAGAGAGACCCGTGTTTGAAATAGGAATTTTGGTGTAGCTGTGTGACCTTGGTTGAGTTGCTTATAGATGTTCAGTGTAGTGGCTCATGTAAAAGTTGAATGATTGTGTACTTATACCTGGCACATTAAAGGAGTTCACACCCAAACGTCTGCTGTCATTATCTTACTAACTGGTCTTCCCCTTTTCCTAAATGTACATATGTTAAGGATTAACCGTTACTGTGTTTCACAGGTAGAGGAAGTCAGAGATGCCATGGAGAATGAAATGAGGACCCAGCTTCGACGACAGGCAGCTGCCCACACTGATCATTTACGAGATGTCCTCAAGGTGCAAGAACAGGAACTGAAGTATGAATTTGAGCAGGTGAGGACTGTGGTGAGGCCTCAGCTCTTTCCTCCGCGTCTCCACTTGCATCATTATGAGCTCTCCTTTCCTTTCTTTTCATTTGTGGCTAGGAACTGGGCATGGAGCCCAGCGCTACACATGCAAAGCATGTTTTACACCATACCCCTTGCCTTTTTATTTTAAATGTACTCTGAGGATAAGAATAAGATTAGGGAGGCTGGAGAGATGGCTCAGTGGTTAAGAGCGCTGACTACACTTCTAAAGGATCTGGGTTCAATTCTCAGCACCCATATGACAGTTCACACTGCCTGTAACTCCACGATCTAAAACCTTCACATAGACATATATGCAGGCAAAACACCAATGCACATAAAAATAAATACATTAAAAAAAAAGAATAAGATTAGGACAAGCAGTGGTGGCGCACATCTTTAATTCCAGCACTCTCTGAGTTCCAGTATAGCCTAGTCTACAAAACGAGTTACAGGATAGCCAGGGCTATACAGAGAGATTGCCAGTGTTATCTAGATTTGTCGAATGTCCTTTTTGTTAGTCTAAAGAACCAATTCTTACATCTGGTATGCTGTGTTCATGGTCAGATATATTGATCTAATACGTTTGGGCAGCAATATAAAAATTTCTCATTTTTAAAAGATTTGTTTTCTGTATATGAATGTTTACTGAATGTATGCGTGTATACCATGTTCTTGTCTAGTGCCTACAGTACAGATTGTAGTCTAGAAGAAGGCATCTCTTCCCTGGAACTGGGCTTACAGATGTTTGAGTCACTTTGTGAGTTCTCTAGGAAGTGCTCTTAACCACTGAGCCACCTCTCCAGCACCACCCCAGATTTCTTTTTGAAGGGGTTATCTAAAGGTTTAACTAAAAGCTCTTCTTCTGCTGTCTGCTTCCTCTAATATGGCCTATCAGAAAAATAAGAAAAAGAAACATGATTCAGAGTCAGATGTGGTGGTGTACACCTTTAGTCCCAGTACTTGGGAGGTAGAGGCAGGTTGATCTCTGATTTTGAGGCCAGCCTGGTTTATAGGCTTAGTTCTAAGACAGCCAGGGCTATACTACACTCACTACCTGAGTTAGTAAGTCTGAAACCTTATATACAACATTGCAGCTAATTTCTGTTTAAGAGTTATTTTGTGTATATGTGTATTTTGCTTGAATGTATGTCAGTGTACAACATAAGTGCCTGGTGCTCAAGAGCGTCAGAAGGCAGTGGACCCCCTGGAACTGGACACAGGACAATTGTAAGCTGCATGGTGGGTGCTCGGAATTGAACATGGGTCCTCTGCAAGAACAGAGGTTCGTTACCACAGAGCCATCTCTTCAGCTCCTTGTAAGCAGCTGTTGTAAAGGTTCTTCCCATGTAGCCCTGGCTGGCCTGGAACTTGTTATGTAGACCAGATTTGCTTGGAACTCACTTGTTTCAATCTCCCTGGTGCTAGAAATAAAGGTGTGTCACCACACTTGGCTATGTTTTGAGATTTTTTTTTTTTTTGCTTTTTACTTCCATGTTTGTAGTTTCAGGAAGACTAATATCTAGTTAAGTAGCAAGCATGGCAGTAGAATTAGTTTTCTGTACACTATCTGTGTTTTACTTCAGGGCCTGTCTGAGAAACTGTCTGAGCAAGAATTAGAGTTTCGTCGTCGCAATCAAGAACAAGTTGACAACTTCACTCTGGACATAAACACCGCCTATGCCAGGTTGAGAGGAATCGAGCAGGCTGTTCAGAGTGAGTTTCCTTTAATATATTTCAGTCTTACCTTGTACATTTTCTTAGGATAATTTCTTGAATCCACTCTACTATATGATACTCATTTCATGGAAAGTTGGTCCCAGGTTTGACAAGTTTAAACTTAAGAGTTCTGAGAAGAAATTGGAAAAAAGAAGATCCAAAAATTAAATTGAGGACTGGAGAGATGGCTCAGTGGTTAAGAGCACTGACTGCTCTTCCAAGAGGACCCAGGTTCAGTCCCCAGCACCAACATGGCAGCTAACAACTGTTTGTAACTCTAAGGTCCAACAACCCTCACACAGACATACATAGCAGGCAAAACACCAATGCACGTAAAATAAAATCAAAGAAACTTTATGATACAAATTACCATTTTCATGGTATTTTCCATCATATACTGTGGAGTTATCTGGAAGAGTGGTTTAATGTGATCATAGTTATTGAGGCCTATGTGTGCCACATTGAAAGTGATACAGCTTAACACAGTAAAATAGTAACATGAGTAAAATAGGCTTCCTGGATATTCTACAATTCTTTTCATCATATGACAATAAAAGTCAGCACAATACTCAGGGAATGTCAAAGTCTAGTTTAGTTCATTAAGTCTTTTTTTTGTAAAATACTTTTAAATTGTTTACTTTTATGATTGCAAGTATGTTGCCTACATGTACACCACATGTGAGCCCAAGGAGACCAAACAAGGGTGTGGGATCCCCTGGGACTAGAGTCACATACAGCTGTGAGCCACCATGTATGTAGGTGCTTGGAACCGAACCTAGTTCATTTGGAAGAGCATCAGTGCTCTTAATCATTGAGTCACCTCTCAAACTCCCAGCTCATTAGTTTTTAAAAAAATTTTTTCCTTGGCATATTTCTGATGGCCTTGAATTCTTGGCCTAGGGCTAGTCATTGGTGGTACATGTCTTTGATCCCAGCACTTGGGAAGGAGGCAGAGGCAGGTGGATCTCTGAATGAGGCCATCCTAGTTTACAGAGCAAATTCTAGGACAGCCAGACAGGGCAACACAGAAATCCTGTCATTTTACTGCCCCACCCCTAAACTACTCAATATAAAAATGTCTGAGTTAGAAAATCTCCAGGTATAGTTCAAAAATAGCCAGGGCTATATACTCTTACCAAAGAAATAAGAAATCTTGCAAATATGCATAACTTGCATTGTCTTCAGCAAAGATCTATTGCCCTGGATTTCACAGGAACGGGAAGGGAACTTGGTTGTGCTGTGCACTGGCATCCTTCCAGTATTTTCAGTGTTAGTAGAGTCAGGTCCTCATGTAACTGTCATCTTGTGTTACTTTGTGAAAAGGCTGGCATTAGCTTGGTTAACTTGTTGGGTATAGACTATTGAAGGTGCATCTGGGATGTGCATATGAGGACGACAACAGTGTCTTTCTTTGCTTTAATTAATTAAATCTATCTTTTTATCTATCAATCTATTTTATTTTTTAGGTCATGCAGTTGCTGAAGAAGAAGCCAGAAAGGCCCACCAGCTCTGGCTTTCAGTGGAGGCATTAAAGTATAGCATGAAGACTTCATCTGCAGAAACACCTACCATCCCATTGGGGAGTGCAGTTGAGGCCATTAGAGTCAACTGTTCTGATAATGAATTTGCCCAGGCTTTAACTGCAGCCATTCCTCCAGAATCCCTGACCCGGGGGGTATACAGTGAAGAGACCCTAAGAGCCCGTTTCTATGCTGTTCAAAAAGTAGCCCGAAGGGTAGCGATGATTGACGAAACCAGAAATAGCCTGTACCAATACTTCCTTTCCTACTTGCAGTCCCTACTACTGTTCCCGCCTAAGCAACTGAAGCCACCGGCAGAGCTCTACCCTGAGGATATAAACACATATAAATTGCTCTCATATGCCTCCTATTGTATTGAGCATGGTGACCTGGAGCTGGCAGCAAAGTTTGTCAATCAGCTAAAGGGGGAGTCCAGAAGAGTGGCACAGGACTGGCTGAAGGAGGCCCGAATGACCCTAGAAACTAAGCAGATAGTGGAGATCCTGACTGCATACGCCAGCGCCGTAGGAATAGGAACCACTCAAGTACAGCAAGAGTAAGGCCTGGGAAGAGTTGTGTAATGCCATATTTCCTATCAAAGAGAATCAGCATTGGTATCCACAGGGTTTGCAACAAGGGTCCCAGAATTGTCTAGAAGTGAGCAGGTTCCAAGTCCTGTGCAAGATGTTAACACCTGTTGCACTTACTGTCCTTATATTGCTATCATGCCAATGAACTCCAGGGGGCTTTATTTGCAACTTGTGTAACACTTCTGTTTTTCAAGTTTTACTGATCAGGCTTGTGAGCCACTCAAAATAATGTCTGTGATCCCTACTATTGATTCTGCCCTTGGAGCAAACTGAATAAAGCAACACAATGAAAACTGAGTACTCCATCCCTTTTCAGAAGTGCCATCTCCAGTTTGTTGTGTGAGTGGACAGCTTCCATGAGAAGCAGCCAGTGGTAGGAACTTGTGGCCAGTTTCAGGGCTGTGAGCTGGGTAATGTGAAATCCAAGCCCTGTTGCTTTGGCTTTGAATGTTTGGGTGAATGGATCTTCTGATGGTCAAAATCCAGAGTGTATAGAAGCCAAATGTCAGTGGTTGAAAAGCACAGGAGGTAGTCTGCACTGTTGTAATAGCTTCCACAGGCAAAGCTGTATTACTGACATTCAGCACATGCACCTGTCAGAGTCCCTGAGCCACTGCTCCCCAGCTTCTCAGTATTTGGGATGCAGATCTTGAGTAGATGGAGGTTATGAACCTGGAAGCTGAATTCACCCAGATTGCCAGTGAATTCTGAGTTTTATAGCTGCTATAGTGAACAGACAATACATTTTTACTTTGACTTTTTTTTAAAGATTTACTTATTATGTATATTGTGTTCTGCCTGCACGCCAGAAGAGGGCACCAGATGTCATTATTGATGGTTGTGAGCCACCATGTGGTTGGTGGGCGTTGGACTCAGGACATCTGGAAGAGCAGTTAGCACTCCTAATCTCTGAGCCATTTCTCTAGCCCCTTGACTTAATTCTTACACCCTGAAGACTACCATCTATCTCTACAAAATCCTGCCAGTTTTTAACTTTTTGTTGGGGTGTTTGTGTTTATAAAATTAAGGAGAACTTTTCAGCTGAGCAATATACCTACAAAGCATGAAAGTGGTTTTTTTTTTTTTTTTTTGGTATTGTTTCTATAGTTCCACATCTACAGCCTCTTAAAATGGTTATATTGAGGCCTTTATACAGCACTGGCCTTGCCCTTTGGCTTGGGATACACTGGGTTATATTCAGCCTGGGCTGATAATGTTATTGTTCCAGGTCTGATTAGAGCATCTGCATGTGAATTGCCCTGTTTCTGAAGGTAGAGACACTGGGCACCTACCTGGAGCTGTAAAGTTAATGGACTGTCGACCTCCCTACTCCCACTTCTAAAAATAGGATTAAATCGCAAAAGTACATTAATGTGTAAAATGTTTGTCATGAAAATTGAGTTAAATATACTAGATTGTAAGCAAATTCAGTTTCTTTTGGAACCCTGAAAAGCTTTCTTCACATGTATGTCATTGTGGTTCATGCCTTCAATCAAGTCAGGCCAGACAGGGCTACACAGAGAGATTCTGTCTCTAAAAACCAAGGATGGAGTGGGTGTCAAATAATGTGATTCTTTGAGTTCATCGGAAGCAAGCAACACAATGGCTCATTTTAGCTCTGTACCAAAGTAACAAGGACTTCAGATGGTGTTTTTGGGTGTGGGCATCCTCCACTTGGTTTTTGAGACAAGGTCTTTACTGGCCTGAAACTCAGTAGGCTAGGCTGGATGGCCAGTGTTTCAAGCAAGAGCATTCATGCTAGACTTTTTTTTTGGGGGGGGGGGTACTTGGCTCTGGGGATGAGCTGCAGGTTCTGAGGCCTGCCTGTACCAAGCACCTCACAGACTGAGTTATCTTCCCAGCCACTGACTTGCAAATTTCAGTGCATAAGAGTGGCTTTGACAAAGGAAGGGAACTCCTGCTAGCCAGTCCTTGCTCTTGCCTTGGCTAACTAAAGTGAAAAGGAGAGCTTGAGATGTCAAGGTGGGGCATGTCAGCTTCATGCAGCATCTCCTTTAAATTGCCAAGTGAATGAATAACACTGCCACTTGGGACTGGACACAAAGCCAGGTCATCACCTAATACCTCACTGCTGTAAGCGTGTTCAAACTGGGTGTGATCCCTATGCACTGTGGAGGTGGCAGCAAGAAAATCAAATCTTTATGGTCAAACCGGACCTTTTTAAAAAACAACAAACAAAAAACAGCTGATGAAAACCAATGAGCTATGTTAATACTTCTTAACATCAACAGCTGAGTTTGCCTCAACTTTTTTCTTTTTGGTTTTTTGAGACAGGGTTTCTCAGTGTAGCCCTGGCTGTCCTGGAACTCAATCTTATTTACTTGAGTTCCCAAATCAGTAATTAAACTGCAGTAGAATCTTAAGCAATCTTCAAATATAGTACATTGGGTTAACTTACATCCTCTGTTCTCTCAACAGGTTCTGGATAAAAGCAGTCTGCAAATCCCAAATGAGTAACCCCACCAGTTTCAAAGTAACTTGCTTGAACTCAGTGCAGAAGAACAGGCCATCTCCTTTAACACAAAAGGCAAATAAAATGGCTTGATGAGTAGGATGCTAACCTTTATCAGGTTCAGTGGTCTAGGCTTCTTTCAGTTTGAGTCATGTAAGAGGCAGGGAGGTGATATGGTTATGTTTAATGAGTTTTGAATTGTTATAAAGCAATTATCTAGTAAAGGGGCCACTGCTATGAGTACATCCCACTGGTACAAGGTTAAGGTTGTCCTCCAGAATAAGTGACCGTTACTCTTGGCTACTATGAGTTCTGAATTCTTGGGAAAGTCCGCAGCTGGGCAGGTGTGTAATACTCTTTACTGAGTCTGGCAGGGTTTGATGTTTTTCAAGACAGGGTCTCTGTGTAGCTCTGGCTGCCCTCAATATCAGAGATCCACCTGCCTCTGCCTTCCAAGTGCTAGGATTAAAGGGTGTGTGTTACCACTTCCTGGCTGAGTCTGAGTATCAGACAGACACACACACAAACCCCACTGGGGACTAAACATGGTCCCAAGCATACGAGGCTTATCAATCATACCAATGCAGTGCATCTCTACAGCCTTCAGCCTCATGAAGTCCGCTGCTTTTAATATGACTGCTTACAATGTGAGTTTCAACCACAATATTTATATTTCGTATTGTTTGAAAATGTATGAATTGAATTGCAAGTTAATCTTTCCAATACAAGCATATGAAAGCCAGGCATGGTATCACACAGCTGTAATTTTGGCATACAAGATGCTGTGGCAGGTGGCTTGCCCCTCAAAGTCAGCATGGTGTACATAGTGGGAATGTCTAAATAAATCTAAAAATACACAAGTGAAAACAAGCGGCTCCCTAGTACAAAAAACCCATTTAATTTTTTATTGTCATTTAGGACTATGGTACTAGACAAGCATGGGCATGCAGACAGTAGGATTATAGATCCATGGCCAACAGAACACTCAACAAAGCCAGACACTGAGAACTGGCCACCTTTAGAGATCTGTGAGAATTTGTGCAATCTGATGAATAAGGAATGGGAACCAGTGAAATAAAAAGCATAGGATTCAGACAAAGATGAAGTTCAAGGCATAGCTGCATCAGAAAGAAAGTAAAATCTGGAATACTTGTCTCTTATTAACACCGGAGATGAAAGACTATTATGAGAGAAATATAGGCAGAGATAGTGGACAAGTCCTTATATAGGTAGCCCTTAATTATTCTTCACAGAGTTCATGGCACTTCTCAGCTCAGTGAGGGTTTGCTAAGAAAGGTGAATGTTTGAGCTACACATGTCAAGTGGATTTGAAAGTCCACCACATAATTATGTCAAGGATTTTCTTTAGCTGGCTGTAAACCAATAAATGCCCAAGGCCTAGGTGGGAAGAGGCATGCCACAAATGCCAGCAAGGGCACTGTCACCCACAGGGACAGATGAGTTGGAATCAATGGGCAGAGTTGATAGCCTTTCTAGCAGCCAGCTCCTAATTTGCCCTCTGTTCTTTACCAAAATGACTTTGTAGGTAATTAATCAACTGACATCCCCTTCTCCCAACCCCAAATCATTTTGATGATGCCTTAAGACTCTTTTTTGAGCCGGGTGTTGGTGGCGCACGCCTTTAATCCCAGCACTCGGGAGGCAGAGGCAGGCGGATCTCTGTGAGTTCGAGGCCAGCCTCCAAAGCTACAGAGAAACCCTGTCTCGAAAAACAAAAAACAAAACAAAAAAAAAGACTCTGCTTTTTGGGTGAGACAGCACCAAGATTTATGAAGACAAGACTGGGCTCTAGCCTGGGAACAGATGGTAAATGTAGATGGGGTGGGGGAGGGTGTGTGTGTGGAGAGGAGCAGCAGGGAGCACAAACATTTATAGCTATCAGAGTAGCCAGTTTCCTCATCAATGCAGAACTTGGTGCCTTAGTTATCTGGGAGGAATGTGTGGGTTGGTGGTGGAAGCACTTGTGAACTTAGAGCTGAAAACCTCAAACTTCTTACTGGTTTCCATTAAAATCATTCATGATTAATAGAGGTTGATCAAGCTGATCAGTAGCAATACAGTATCCTTACATTTCTTATCCTTTTCTTATCCCTGGCCACCTAAAACACTTTAAATATCAACTTATGAAGTGTCCACATAAACCAAAATGGCTTTTTTGGGGGGGAACCCCATGTGCTTAGGCAAGAGCTAAACCACTCATATAAACATTTATGGGTCTGGAGAAGGAAATCTCTTCATAATGTGCTTGCCATGTGGTTATGAGGACCTTAGTTCAGATCCTCAAGTGCCTATGTAAAATGCCAGATGGATCCCCAAGCTGGCCAACATGCCTAATGAACCAGCCATCTCCATGCTCAGGGAGAGGTCCTGTCTGAATAAACCTAGATAAACAACTAGAGAAGGCACCATTGACCTCTGGCCTCCACATGACCACATACATACATATATACATACTTCAATTATTAAAAATAAAAGCACATACTGCCGGGCGGTGGTGGCGCACGCCTTTAATCCCAGCACTCGGGAGGCAGAGGCAGGCGGATCTCTGTGAGTTCGAGGCCAGGCTGGACCGATAGCCTCCAAAACAATACAGAGAAACCCTGTCTCGTAAAAAAAATAAAAATAAAAGCACACACTTAGTCACTGTTTATTTAAATCATTTTATAAGTTATGCAGCTTAAAACCAGTAACTTGCTTCTGATTAATTAGTTCTAAGATAGTTATTCTCATTAAGTACTCCCCAAAATGGGATACGATCAATTCAATGGCAGTTATCAGCAAGCACATCACAGGGCAGGTGGGCAATAAAGGCCTGTGAGAGCTCTAACATGACGATTAAGTCTGCAGACACTGGATTGTATGTGGGATTTATTCTTCAAGAGCCATAGACCACACAGTGCTGATCGCCATCTAGACAAAAAACTGCCCAGATTTGCCTTTTAGTGGTGCTGGAGATGAATCTCATGAACTTGTGTCTGTTAAACTACTCCTGCTTACATTACAAACTCAGTCCTGTATCTGCTCATTTTACCACATTAGACATTCCAGCAGCTATTGTGGGCCACCTCACTTTCTTTTGTCTTCATCGATGTCACTGTCACTGCTGCTGTCTCCATCGCCACTGCTGTTTGATATAGTGAGGTTACCTAGGGCTTCTCTGTAAGGAAAAGAAATATTACACTTCAGCTCAGAGGGCTAGGAGTGTTTGGCATCTCTGACATATACATAGTCACAGCAGTTTTGAAAAAAAAAAAAAACAGGGATCCTAAAGCTGCACCAACTACAAGAACAAAGGAAAGGCTCCAACAGTTCCAAACTTGTATGACAGACAGAAGAAGCCGCTATCATGTCACCACCCCTTGATTTATAAGGGAATGATAACATATGGGAGAAAGCTATACTCTCCCAAAGAGGAGATGGACAGACTTACTTTTGTTCTGGGTTGACTGTGAAATCCACCATTACTCGTTGGGTAAGGCTCTCACAAACAGGCAAGCTGAAGGCGCTTGCTAGCTTCACGACCTCAATGGCTAAAGCAGGACTATCAGATGCTTTTGCAGTGTCTATAAACTCCTCCAGCAATTCATTTCTGTAAAAGAAAACAAACTGAACAGTCCCAACTCACCTTTTATCTACAAGACGCATTTTCCTCCATGGATACAGGTGTACCATTTATGTGTAGTGCTGGTGTGCCCATGTTAGCCAGAAGATGTCAGATCCCCTGGAACTCAAGTTAAAAATGGTTTTAAGTGTCCATGTGGGTACTGAGAACAGAACCTTGGCCTTAGATAAAAGCAAGTAAAGTGTTCTTAACCACTGAGCCACTTCTCCAGTGCTAGCTTTTAGTCAAATATCTACAGGCAAAATTCAGAATATGTTTATTAGTCAAATCCTCATTAACATTGGACAAAAGTTACAGGCTAACTAATGTTCTATAGATCACTGACTAACCAGAGAAAGAACTTCCTCAGGATGCCCCAAATGGTAGGAGATTACATGCTTGCCTGTCTAATCAAAGAGCCCTCAAATGCAGTAGCTGAGGTATGTGAAGAAATTTTAGTCATGTACCCAAGAGTCAAAGCCCATCTGACTAATTCAAGTCTGTACCGGGTGAGGCCTCTTAATGTCAACTTACCCGGGGATCTTATTATATTTCTTGAAAAGTGCCAACATTTTCCTGTGAGAGAAGAAACAGATGACTGTTGACAGAAAAACAAGTGGCAACCAAAGCTGATCTCTTCACAGACTCAGAACTAAGTGACTTAAAGGGAAGCTACACAGACTCGCTGAATTCCTTCCTGTGGGCTCAACTAGTTACCAATTCTCGCTACATAAATTCAACAGGTAAATCTGACATGTGGCCAGTGATGAGAACTGCTGGTTGTATCCAGGGCAGGAGGGAATCCATCCTACACTCTGTGCAGAAGAGAAAGAGTCAGTGGGATGAGCTTAGCCTACTCCCTCTTAAAACCTAAGTCAGTCTGCCTGAAAACTCCAATATGAAGAACAGGCTCAGATTAAGGCAACAGTCTCATATATGTGAACACCATCTGTCTGCCACATGCAAGACAATGGTAAAACACATACATTCAGCTCCCATGATTCAGCTGAGGTCCGTACCCCTGCGCCAATCATCACAGCCTGCTTCAGTGTATCAGCCTGCTGGACCATGCAAATGCTTTGGTTTGTTTTTTAATGACAACCTAGTGCTTAACAAGTCACATTTCAGGGAGCTACAGCCCCAAAACAAGATTATCCAGAAAAAGATGTTTTGAGCAACAGGCACATTTGGACTAGCAATAAAGTCCAATACATTTATGTCCGAAGAGAGGGAAGGGGAGACAAGAGAGAGAAAGAATGAAAATGAGAAAAGATCATCTAGATGCCTCTACAAAGTATCTTGTAAACTTTCAGGGAAAAATGAGTATGCCCAATGTTCCCTTTTATAAGAACTACAATCAATTTACTACTGAAATGCTGGAAGAACATACAGAAGTGGAATAGTAGCACAAACAAAAGAGAGGCTCTTGTCCAGGTCTCATTTC